CCCCCCACCTTGAGCAGCTCCCTGGGGAAGTCTCCGCCTTCATTGAGGCCCTCCAGGTTTCCGATGAAGTCTCCGCAGGTCATGCGCTTCCCAATGTTCTAAGTGAGGGCACAGAGGACTGTGAGGGGGGCCTTAGGCCCCAGGCCTTGAAGTCTCTGGATGCAGTTTTCTGGGCTCCCTCCCGCCAGCCCCCCACTCACATGGCCGTGGAGATCGGTGTTTAGTAGCATGAGGGCGCAGGTCAACGTGTGCGCACCGTCTAGGGGAGAGTTAACATTCAGCCTCGGCCACATCCCACAGGTTCTTCCCACAGCCATCTTCCCCAGCCTTCCAGTTTATCTCCTACCCTTTTTGGCCCCCAGTCATACTTTTTTAAGTCTTGAACCCCATAGTGAACCCTCCTGCCAAAGCCCTCTCTTTTCCAGCAGATCCCTAAAAGGGACCTTTTCCCCAACACCCACCGGCCTCGGTGAGTATGCACTACACACAAGCCAGTGGGCCCCTCACAGTTACGCTGCCCAGTGCAGCCAAATCACATTGTCTGTGGACAGTGGCGTGCAAACACACCCGCTCCTGACCACACACACTAGACCCTAGCAATGCCTGCCCACAGGCACAGTTCCACCTTCCTGAAGCCATGTCAGCACTGCACACATGCATGCTCACACGCCTGCAAGCCTGTGCATGCATTCACTCCCACACACACACTCATGCTCCTATGCACACACACTGTGTCCATCTCCTTGGTGACCAGCTGGGAAAGCCCTGGCCCCTGACTTCCTCACCCTCTGAGGACAGGGCTCCAGGATTGCACTGGAAGTATCTCTGGGAGAAGTGGGCCAGCACACGCTCCCGTTCTTGGGTCTCACCCATTAAGGCCAGCTCCTTCAGAAACACCCTGGGGAGTGGGGAAGAGGGAGCATGTCACCCCTACCCAAGGTCCCCTAACCAGGCAGCCCCAGCTTTTGGCCATGCCCAGCCATCCTGGGAAGGATGACATCGGGGCACCTTAGGAGAGGCATAGGGGCTCGGAGGAGGCACAGCAGAGGCCCTGCACACCAGGCCTGGAGAGTGGGGGCTGCCCTCAAAAGGCTTAACACCCACCTGAGAGCTTGGTCCAGAGTCATGCCCGTGAAGACAAAGAACTTGAGGTACTCGCCAGCCACAAGTTTGCTGAAGTCATTGCTGTGGGCAGGGCAGATAGACAGGTGGAGTTTCAAGGGAAAGGCTCGAGGGGCCAGGTGGGCTTACCTACAGCCCCGGGGCTGTTAGAGGGAATGTGGAGGTGCTGCCCACAGGATGCATCCCTCCTCCCCCCATTCTCAATCCCAACCAATGACTTTACTTCTTGCCCAGGTGCCGGGCCACATCGGCCTTCCTGAAGCCGTCTAGTCGGTATAGCCTCTTAGCTAGGCGCTGCGCGGCCTCCAGGTCTGCTTTCTGCCCATTGGACAAGGTGTCTGTGCTTCCCAGGGCCAGCCGCTCTGTGCTGTCCAGCTCTGAGTCCGAGTCGGACACCAGCTGGCTCAACGGTGGTTCGCTGCCGGGGTAGAACACTAGCTCAGAGGTAGGGCAGTCCCTCTGGGGCCATTCCGATCCTTCCTCTGCCTCCAAAACCGGAAGACAGAGAGGGGGTGTTTGGGACATGGGGAAGGCATTTTTCCTTTCACCAGAGGACACTGTACAGTTTTTCTCTATCAACTGATGCCATCTCTCTGTAGAAGTCCTACATCAAATTTAACCCACATCCATCTTTCTGCTGTGGGAATTTTGACTGCTTCTCCAAAGCTCCCTATGGAGTTCGCTATTAGGCACAGATTTCCTATCTCCACATTGGCCCCTTCTGAGAATATAGTCCTCTATCTCTGAGAATATGGGCTAAGGTGGGATATAGATAGGCTGCCAGAGAAGAACAGTGGAGGGTCAAACAATGATTTGAGGGCAGCAGGGACACCTTCCCCCTCCTATGTCTTTCTTGTTCTAGCCTTTGCCTTGGTCCTTCTCTTCCACCCACAAAGAGGCAGACTCTGGGGTAGAGGGGAATGGGGGTCAACATGCACCCCATTCATCCCGTCTCCTCCTCCCCTTCCCTTCCCGCCATCCCAGCTGCTCTACTCGCAAAGCCACCTGTCACCCCAGAGACAGAGGCCGGAAACTCCTGGTTGCTAGGCAACCCTGTCTCCCTGGCCACCCCCTCCCGTTGCCATGGCTTCCGTGACTGAGAGGGTAGCTGGCTGAGGGAGAGCAGAAAGGTTAGACTGGTGAAAGGACTTCCTGGAGAAGGGTGAGAGGCTCCTGACTGAAGGGGGAGGCGACAAGGGAGGGAGGCAATGGGAGAGGCTGGTGGCTGCGTCTTTGGGAGAAGCCTCCAGGCTGGGTGGAGTAAGGTCACAAGAATTCTAAGCAGGTTAGAGGCTCTGCCTGGGGAAGAAAGGGCCTTCCTAGAAAGAAAGGAGGGTGTTCTCTGAGGACTCTTAAATCTTGAATCATGGTTTTTCAAGTCACTGGATCTGAGACCAAGGGGGTGGGCTCCCCCTCACAGCCAATGGAAGTAGCCCTCCAAATGGAAAAACAGACATCTGCACCCCCTAACCACTCTATCAGGGGTCAGGAATATAAACTGCCTCTTTGCACTAGGGCTCTTTCCCTTGGAGCAGCTGTTCCTGGGGCCCTGGGGACCTCAGTTCTGAGGAACCAAAGGAATCACTCACCTGCCCAGGGGTGCTGCCCCCAGCCCAAAGCTGTCCTCTGAGCGGCAGGGACTAGGGGGCTCCCTCCCTGGGGCCTGCTTGGCTCCAGCTTCTGCCTCCTCTTCCTCCCGTCTCTGTGTCCAAGGCCCATCAGCAGCGGAGCTGGTACCAGAATCTGGCTCAAGAGGTGCAAGTGGGGCGGGAGCAGGAGGGTCAGGCCGGGGGGCAGGGGGTTGGGGAGGCAGCTCAAAGGTGAAGAAGGGGCTCTGGGTTGGGCCAGGTGAGGCCAGGGCCTCCAGCGAGGCAAGGCTGGTGTAGGAGGTGCCCTTGGCTCGGTGTGACTCCAAGATGGCTTCAAACACACAACTGAAAGAGTCAGGCCCATCAGCTGAGGGGCTGGTCCCAGGTAGAAAGGGCACAGGCGACTTGAGAGGCCCAGGGTGAGGCATCCGGGTGCCTGGCCTGCAGGGGCAGGGAGAGTCTCTGATCAGGGGCCCAAAGGACAGCTCTTGGGTAGCATTTCATTGAATTCTCATATGACTCTGTGAAGGGGACTATCACCTCCTTTTCACAGGCCCCAGCCCTCTAAAAAAGCCACCTGGGTAGGGAGTCCCCACTACGGGTTCACCAAGCTATTCAGTGCCCTGAGGCACCCCAGCCTTACCGTCCCTAGCACCCAATCCCTTCCTCTCTTCCTCCCTGCTAATCTCCCTTTCTCCTCCTTCTCCCTGATCCTCTCCCCTCCTGCCATCCCATTTCTATTTCTGGCAACATCTTAGTAGAAGAAGATGAGGCTCCAAGCTGCAGTGGGGTGTGAGACGGAGAGGAAAGCCCCCACACTCCCCATTCTCCTGCCAGGATCCAGGATCAGGATTGATGCTCCCACACCCCCAGGCTTGATTCTGGCCCCTGGCCTCTCACTCTACCTCCTGTTCTTCACTAGAACCCCTTTCCTCCTCACTCTACCTCCTGTTCTTCACTAGAACCCCTTTTCTGGCTGCTCCCTACCCTATGGGCTCTTGCTGACACATACCCCACCCCCCACATCCCCAGCATTCTGGCAGGCCTGGGGCCTCTGTCCAGAATCTCCTGCTGCATCGCCCTGTCAGCACTGCTAGCTTGGTCCTGACCCTCCCAGTCCCACCCTCATCTCCATTCCAGTCCCTCTGACCCCAGCTCTGCCTTTGGGCCAGCTCCAAGGAGTAAGCCTCCTTCTTTTCCCATTCCCGCACTCACCGGGCCCCCTCTGAGGCCTCAAACACCTCGTCGTCCACTTCCTCTTCCCCACCTGCCTCGTTCTCGTCCTCATTTCCACTGCCCAGGCTGGGACAAGGGCCAAAGCATGGACCGCGATGTGGGGCAGGTGAGCGGGCAGTGCCAGGCGGGCCCTCAGAGCTGGGCTGACTCTCGATGGCCGAGTCAGCATCCTCCCGCTCAGCCAGCACCTCATCGATGTCCGTCTCGCGGTAGCACCTCAGGGGCACCATGTCCAGGTCCGTCTCGGAGTACTTGGCTGCTCGCCCCACAGCCACCCCAGAGCCCTGCCCTGAGCCCACCCCAGGTGGAGATGGGGGGGCCTGCTCTGGGGGCTTAGCACCTGCAGTATGTATAGGCATCCTGGTCAAGAGGTTATTCTGTCAGCTACCTGTCTTGATACTGTTCTAGGAAGGAGCTCTTTCCCGTTGCCTCATATTGGCAGGAAGATTCTTTCACTGTCTAGCCACCATTCTTCCTGCTACAAACTCAGCTTGTTCCTGGTGCCAGTGAAGCTCGTTTCAAATCAAGTTCTTGTCAAATAACTTTGAGGGGCCCAAGGGAGACCAGCTTCTTTTCTACTTCACAGAATGACCCTTGATATCCTGCCATCCCCTCTCTCCACAATCTAGCTTCCTCCAGGTGCCCAACCCAGCCATGATCCCCTGACCCGCCATCATAACACAGATGGAAAGTTTAAGACCTGGAGAGGCATTAGCCAACTCATGAGCCCAGGAAAGGACTGGGGGGAGGTTACAAGGAAGGCTCCCTACCATGCCTCAGCTGCTGTGGGGAAGGCCCTGCCCTGTTCCCCTTGCCTCATCCAGGATCTTACCTGAGCTTGGGGGGTCCAGGGAGCCATAGAAGAATTCCCATTTGGCTCGAGCAATTCTCTGGGCATGAGAGGAGACTTCCCGGGGGGAGGACCAGGTGTCTCCCTAAGCCAAGGAGGGAGAGACAGACACAGGTACCCAGAGGTAAAGCCACACATACAAAGACACAAGAACATGGGACAGAAACACAGAAAGAAAAACACACAGGGACAGATATAGAGGTGCCGAGGCACAGGGACAAACATATGGGGCAAGAAAGAGACAGATTTAGGACAGATCGAAGAATTCAGAGTGAACAGCTGACAGGCTCAAAACTGCCAAGGGACCAAGCCTTGCCCCCATGCTGGGGCTCTGGGGTTCCAGGGAGCCCAAGGGAGGTCGCATACCTGGTTCAGGAGTCCAGTGTCAGCAGGTCCTGGGAATAGCTTGGCCAGGTGCTCAGAGGGTCCCCCCAGCCCATTGGGGAGAGAGGAGTAAAGGCCATCTGCCCCAACCTGAGGTTGGGTTGGTGGCCCATGTATAAGGCCCCGGCTGCCAGGCCCAGCTGAGCCTCCTCCGGCTGGGAGTGGGTCTGATGTGGATGCCTCTAGTCGCAACTTCCGGTTGGAGCCAGGCCCCAGGGCTGGGGTGGGCCGGGGAGGAGAGACCCCACCCAGGTCCCAGCTCCGACTCAAGCCTCCGGGAGCAGGTAGCCCATTCAGTGGCCTCACGCTGGCCTTCTCCACAAAGCGGAATATGACCACAGAGCTCCGAGCCCCTGGTGGGGGCTGCCCAGTGGGTGAAGAGGGTGCCCAGGGTGAGGGAGCAACACGGGGTGAGGGGGGCCCACGCAGGGGTGTACAGGGTGCTGTCACACGTCCCAGTTCCCGGCCTCGGGGACCTGGACCTGCCACCCGCCGTAGCAGGGAGCCTGTGCTGCCATACATGCTGGCTGGGGGGCTTTGTGGCACCGGGCCTTCGGGGAGCCAGCGGCGTGGGCATCGTGGTGGGGAGATGGCACAGTCACCCTCCGAGCAGAAGCGCATGGCACCCTGGGCCATGCTGGGGCCGGGGGTCAGGCTGGGGGGGCAGGGATGGCGAGGCCAGGCGGGGAGTGAGGGGGCAGCATGCTCTTCAGACAGGCCTGCAAGAGAGGAAGGGGGAGCAGGGGGTGAGCTGCAGGGAAGGTGGATGGGCAGGAGAGCAGAGACAGAAGGGGAAAGCAGGATAGGCCATCTGAGAGCCAGGGGCCTAGCCTGTCCTGGGAATATGGCATCATTGATCCCACCCCTAGAAATGATCAGGCCTCCTACTTGGACTACTTCCATGGAGGCCTGAGGAGAAAAGAATTGTGTCCCCAGTAGGCCCCTGGCTCCTTTCCTTCTGTCTGAGGGCCCTGAGCATCACCCTGGGAGGAGAAAGGAAGCTATTTCAGAAGTTGAGTGAGTTCAGAGTCCCTGTGGCATTTTGGAGCTACTTCTGGTGGAGGAGGGGGAAGGCTGGTAGCCCATCCTCTGGACCAGGAGTGTCAGCCAATCAAAACCATGTTACAGCCATGGGTCCCCCACAGTCTCTCTTATGGAGGCCCCTCACTCAGTGAGAGAGAATTCAGGCCTCCTAGAAGGAAAGGCAGGAAGATTGGGGGGGGGTGTTATATAGGGACGATGAGGGGCTGAGAGGCATATGGTGAAGGGGAGGAGAACTGAGGCCCCTACTCCTAATGTATATATGCTGAATGGGAAAGGGACATTCTTGTTCTTCATACAGGTACACACACACACAGGGACAAATAATGTCAGTACACAGTTAAACATATTTATAGGCAATATCTCCTGCACACACAGACCCAGGCACACACATACACACGTTACCCAAAGACACACCCTCATACACTCTCACAGTCATAACAAATATGTGTGTAATGGAAAGGCACATGCTTATTTTACACACACACTGTCATCAAACAAGAATACACAAAGAGACACACAAATATACTCACAGGGCCTCATTCTCCAATGCACACAGACACAGGCGTATCAGACACTCACAGGGACCTACTAGTCACAATCACATACAAATACAGATGCACCCTCACACACACACTAAACAGGAACACACACCCTCTCCCCCAACCCCCACCAGTCACCTGTCTCTGGGTGGGAAGGCTGCACCAGACCCTGTCCCTCCTTCCCTCTTAAGGGAATGACAGATCTTGTCCAGCCCTTAAAGGGGTAAAGGGGCCTCTGGTGGCAATGCAGGGTAGGGGCAGAGGTCAGGAGCAGCAACCCTGCCAGGCAGGTTTCTGAAGCTCAGTGGGGGCCCAGGGCATCCCCAGTGCAGCTCCGATTGGAGCTGCCTCAGTACTCACCGCTGCTCGCCTGGAGCTGGGGCCGAGGAGAGGCGGGGAAGAGGCTGGGCCCAGCTCAGCTGTGAAGGCAGCGCGGCTCCCGCTTGCTCCCGCTTGCTCCAGGCCCGCCTGCCTCTCAGTCCCTCCCCCTCCCCCCTACGCGCGGCTCAGGCAGAGCTAATCCCCCCACCCACCCCCCGCCCTTTTCCGGGGCCCTGAGCCCCGGAGGCTGGCCCCCCTTCTCGACGCTAGGTCTCCGCTGGGCTCTCCCGCCAACCTGAGACCCGCCCTTGACGAGGGGGAGGATGTATGGAACCCCCGGTTCTGTTCCCAAGACCCTCACGTGCCCCACCCCAATCGTGTCCTGGTCCCTTTCCTCCACCGCCCCCTGAGCCACACGCCAGACCCAGCTGCACTCGCGTGTCCCGCTCCAGACCCCACGCGTGTCCCTAGGAGGTTGCCACATGACCTGTTACATGCCACACGCGCTCCCGCCCCCACGAGCACGCGGCCGCGCCAAGCACACCGAATGGGTGTAGACCGGACCCGCCCCCTAAATCCAAGAGACCATCAACTTATGGGAGAGAGATCTAGGAAACAGTGCCTCAAGCCCTAAGGGGTTCTACGTTTCGGACCCAGGAGACCCAACCCTGACCACTCGCCCAGGATGCAGCAGGAGGGATGTTAGTCAGACTTTAGAAAGAACTTCCTTGCTGCCTGAGTTAGGTGTCCTGGCTATCTGAGGGTAAATGGTTAGACGGGATGATGCCGGGAGTGGAGGAAGTGGGAAGCAGGCAACCCTTGTGCCCTTGGCCAAGGTAGAAGGGGGCCCAGCTATTTTAGGAAAGCACTGCCAGAGTTACTATGGCAACTGCTCTCCTTGGGAACGCCAGGGCATGCAGGTGGCGACCTCGGAATGAAGAAGGGGCCTGTTCGGGCAGTCAGGGGGCGAGAGGACTTGCGCGGCGGGGGCGCGCGGGGCTCACCGCGGGGAGGGGCGGCGCGGGCTCCGCGTGGTGCTGAAGGGGACAGCGCCAGATTTGTCGCACTGCGCAGGCGCAGAGGCGCGAACAAAGCAGGGAGGAGGAGGAGGCGCGCGTCCCGAGGTGGTGCGCGCCTACAAGGCTCTATCTTAGTGGAGGTCGGTCCTCCCATCTACCCCCTCCCCAAGCAGGCTAAGGAAGAGGAAGCAAATCCCTCACCCAAGATAACCCTCTTTGGTCCTTCCCCGTTGCTGGCTTCTCCCTTCTTGCTGCATTGGGGGTTGGGGAGGGTGGAAGGGATTCTGGGAAAACTAGGATGCCTGAATTCTCAATCGCGACTCGCTTGACCCTGGACAAGGCGCGTCCTCTCTAGGGCTTCGGTTCCATCTTTTAAAATGGAGTAACAGCACAGAGCTGCTCACCTTGCAGAAGTGCCCGAAGCCCTGATGAAATAATGGATGGGAAGCAGTTTTCGTTATGTAGAGGGAGATGAAGCGGCTGCACGAAGGGAGAGCGCAGCCCTGCTAGGGGGCAGCTCTCGGCGACAGGAGTAGCCCTCAGCGTCCTTCACACCCTCCCCACCAATGGATGATGGGGAAAGCACTGCTCCGGGGATTCCCCGGAGCGGACCCTGGAACCAGGAACTGCGGACGCGGTGAGAGGGCCGCCCAAAGTCTGAGCCTAGAGTTCTGGGACATCACTGCCCCAGGGCGGGCCCAGCCCCAAACCCCACAACTAAATCCCCACGTCAGCCGAGAAGCGGTACTCCTGGTGGGCTGAGCTGAGCACTCATTCTTCTCAGGACTCTAGACCTCCTGGGGAAAAGATAGGGACCCAAGTGGAGAGATAATCCTTCTTAGCGCCCCCTCTGTCTCTCCCTTCGAGGTGCAAATCCATTCCAAATCGTCCGGGCGTGGAAGGGGCTGGACAGCTCTGTACTTCATAACTAACCAGGAACGAGAGGTTTGGGCAAGTTTGCTTGATGAAGGAAAAAAAATTCTAGCTTCGCCCATTTAATTCATTCAGCAATTACTGGGCACCTACTATGTGCCAGACAGTAAGCCTGGATAGTTTCTCCCCATTTTTCCAAGTCGCTAAACGTGACCAGAGGGCAAAGAGTAGGCCCAGAACCTTGGAGTCTTGGCTCCGCCCCTTCTGCGTTTGGCTTTGCCTGCTCCTCCCATCACCACTTCACTCAGAGGCGGCCACTGGCCCAAGACGAAAAAAGAGCCAGTCTCTGCTGCACCATTGCGTTCTCCAGCTTCAGTTCTCAAGCCCTGTAGCCGAGAAGGCGAGGTCTGATGTTACACCACCAGTCTGTTCCGCCCTCAGTTTCGAGATCCATCCGGAACGCTTTCAGATAGGATCCTCAGTGAGACCGCACTCGATTGAATCGGTCTGTCTCTACAGCCCAAGGAGGCGGGTTCGCTGAGGCCTCTCCCAAGGCCAAAGCAAGAAGACCTTACTGCGCACGCGCAATAGGCAGCCGATGGAGCCACCGATGGAGCCGTCCGGAGGGGAGCAAGAGCCCGGAGCCGTCAGGTACCGAGCACGGGAGGGGCCGAGAAAGGGAAGAAGGACCTGGGGGAGGGGAGCCGAACTGGGCCGGGTCTGGGGACCGCTCTTAGGAGCCGGGGCGCAGAAGCATAACGGAGGCGGACTCGTAGGTGACAGCGGCCCGGGGACGCCACCGCCCCTTTACCCGCAGGCTCCTGGACCTGCCTTGGGAAGACGTGCTGCTCCCACATGTCCTGAGCCGGGTGCCGCTACGCCAGCTGCTCCGGCTGCAGCGCGTCAGCCGGGCCTTCCGGGCGCTCGTGCAGCTGCACCTGGCGGGGCTGCGCCGCTTCGACGCCGCTCAGGTGAGCCGGGAGCCAGAGCCTCGCCCCGTCTGGGTACCGCCCCCGCCCCGCCTCCAGCCCAGCCCCCAGCCCCTGTCTACCCTGCCGGACCCCGCGGGAAGTACTCTCAAAGGGCGAGGGCCGGCTATCAACTCAGAAGGCGCTTGGGGTCTCTCCCGGGAGGGCAGGTGGCAAACCCCGAGGGCGGGTTGCTGACGGGAAAGAACTCTTCAGGGGCGGAGAGGCAGCGCCCGTCCCGCCCCCGGGACCAGCTGAGAGTCGAGGTGCCTCCCTGCCCGCAGGTGGGTCCGCAGATCCCGCGGGCCGCTTTGGCCTGGCTGCTGCGGGACGCTGAGGGGCTGCAGGAGCTGGCGCTGGCGCCGTGTCACGAATGGTTGTCGGACGAGGATCTGGTGCCGGTGCTGACGCGGAATCCGCAGCTGCGGAGCGTGGCGCTGGCCGGCTGCGGGCAACTGAGCCGCCGCGCGCTGGGGGCGCTGGCGGAGGGCTGCCCCCGCCTGCAGCGCCTTTCCCTCGCGCACTGTGACTGGGTCGACGGCCTGGCGCTGCGCGGCCTCGCCGACCGCTGTCCGGCCCTTGAGGAGCTGGACCTCACCGCCTGCCGTCAGCTCAAGGATGAGGCCATCGTATACCTGGCGCAGAGGCGCGGCGCGGGCCTCCGCAGCCTCTCGCTGGCAGTCAACGCCAATGTGGGGGACGCCGCAGTCCAGGAATTGGCTCGGAACTGCCCGGAACTCGAGCACCTCGACCTAACCGGCTGCCTCCGCGTCGGAAGCGACGGCGTCAGGTGCCTGGGCATGGGGTCGGTGGGTTGGGAAAAGGGCAATCACTTACTTAGCCTCTGGGTTAGGGGCGGGCTGTAGCTGTCGCAGGGCAGAACGGTGGTGTCTGGATACCACGGCACCCCCGTTCAGACCAGGAAAGGCCTCTAGGATTGCCTAGACCATAGAGCCCATAGTTTAAAAAAAAACTTTTTTGAACCAGTATTTACACATTGGCAGATTTCACATACAGTCAAGTTTCTGGCTTTTCTTCAACAAGGGGAAAACCTTGAAATCCTGGGCGGAGCTGAGGAGCAGTTTCCCCCTTTAAGAGACAGGAGGAAGTCTCTGGTTCACTGGAGACATTGAATGTATGACCCCATCCGGGCTCCCTCCCTCGTTTACGGAGGGAAAAAGAATGCTCTGAGTTTGAGGGAGACAGGGGCTTTGCTGGCTCCCCCACCGTGGGCGTAGCGGCTTCTGGCCCCTAGCCTCACCCGGCTCCTCCCCCAGGACATTGGCCGAGTACTGCCCGGCGCTGCGCTCGCTGCGGGTGCGGCACTGCCACCATGTGGCCGAGCCCAGCCTGAGCCGCTTGCGGAAGCGCGGCGTGGACATCGACGTGGAGCCGCCGCTGCATCAGGCCCTGGTGCTGCTGCAGGACATGGCAGGCTTTGCACCCTTTGTCAACCTGCAGGTCTGACCTGCCTGCCGATGGGGCACAGCTGGACTGTGTGGCGGGGCCTATGAACTGTAGGGAAACTGGACTGTAGGGGCCTCTGGTTAGAGGCGGATGCCCTGCCCCACCCTGGAGCTTCAAATAAAGAGCTTTTTACCCCCTCTTGCCTGGTGCTGCTGCCCTGTTGGAGATAAGGGATATGAAGTTGGGAGAGAGGTCAGACAGACACAATACCCCAATTCTGAGCAGAAATGACCAGAATGCACTCACACCTTCCTGGGGCCACCTTTACTGTGCCCGTGGGCAGCTCCAAGAGGAGGTCAACACTGTGGGGCAAGGAAGTAGAGAGCAGGATGGACAAGGGGGACAGGAGTTTGGGTGGGCCCTGTGTGGGGGTGTAGGGCTCCTGCATCCCTCTGGGATCTGAGCCTAGAAGGCTCCGGCAGAGTCTGGCGAATGCCTTAGTGGAAGCGGTACTTTCTGGCTGGCTTGAGGTTGATGTATGTGGCCTTCATCTCCTCGGCCTCAGGGTTCCGCACATCTTTGAATCGCTCCCCTTTGGTGCTTACTACCTGGTTGTCGATGTATCGGATCAGCTTCTTGGGGGCCTGTCAGGCAATTGGGCAGTGAGCAGCAGAAGCCAGGAGACATCCCACCCACTCCACACGTCCAGCAGCCATAACCCTCTCACCTCCCTGGGAGCCATGGGCCGGTGAATCTTCTGATCCTCTGCGCTATCCACCATCATGTACCTGCCAAAAACTGGCTGGGTGAAGCTCCTGCCACTCTGGGAAGACCCTCTAAGGGTCTAGCCCAGCCCAGCCCAGACTCACTTCTGCAGGATGAAGGACTTCAGTTCATCCTTTTGGGGGCCTCTGAGGCGCCTGGGCAGGTCCTGCAGAGAAGGGAAGCCTAGTCTAAACCCTAGTGCACCAGCAGAAGCAGACAGGGATAGGCTAGGGGCAGGCGCTTAACACTAAGGTGGAACGTGGCTGAGGCTATTTGGGTTGAGGGGGATGTCTAGCAGAGGATACCTGGTTGGGGCCGTCCCAGGCTGGAGGCCCCTCCTCCTTCCCCTCGACAAGCATCTGCACAGCTTCTTCCAAGTCTCCCCGAGCTTTGGCCAGCACCCACTGGGCCTGCTCCACTGAACAGGTAGGGAACACCTCCAGGAGAACATCCACCCCTGGCAGCAGCTCCTCCTCAGCACCAGCTGCCTGTGGGCAGAGATGTTGACAAGAAGCAGTACTTCCTTCTTTCCTGATCCCTAATTCTCTCACCAGTACCCTCCTCTAGCAGTACCTCATCCTGGGTGTCTCCAGCAGCAGTAGGAGAAGCCCTGGTCTCTTCTTTGAGCTTTTCAGGCTGCTGCAGGGGCTCTGGGGAGATGGGCACCTGACCTTGGACCTCAGAGCTCTGTGGTTGCAGGTTCTCTTAAGGAAGCAGAGAGAGCATCAGGTTTGCCAGGGCTTTAGGGGATGGGAGTATTGAGTCATCCAAGTGCCCAGTCCCCAAACTCACCTTTGTTCCTGGCACCACTCAACTGCCCTGAGAGCTTCTGCATCATGTCCCCTATTGTACCCCTGAAAAAAACAGGACGGTGGTAAGAGGACAACTCTGCCCACCCTCCACCATCTGCCAGCCCTCCACTCCCTCTTTGCCCCAGCCAGATCCCACCTTGGAATTTGGGCAAAGCCAGGCACATAGGCCTCCATCATCTCAGTGAAGGCCTCCATATCGAAGTTCTCCTCTGATGGCCCTGAGGGGCCCAGATCCTCCAGGACCCCGAGCACATAGGAGAAGATGACCTCATCCAAGCCGCTGCAGGAAGGGGACAAGACAAGCCCTGGGTAGGACACTGGATACTTCCAGCAACCCCACCTAGCCTGAGACTCAAGCCCTCGGCTTCACTGGGTCCATGAGCCAGACTTCAAGCCTTGAAGCCAGAAAGTATCCCACCCTCCCACAGAGCTTTGGTTTCCCATCTGTCCAGCAAGGTGACAGGGACAGGTTAAGATGTAAGGCCATACCAGCAGATCATAATCAGCCCTCCCCCACCTCAGGATTAAAGCTGAGGGCTTCCCACCCCGTCTTTCCATGGGCCAGGGCCCAGAGTGCTGCCCAGCAGCTCCGACCCTGACCCTAGCATGACCCTTCTAGAAGAGCTGCTTCTACCTGAGGTCAGCCTCTGGGAGGTGCGTCTGGACAAAGGCAAGGAGGGCTGCACTGACAATCCTCTCCAGCTCCATGCTCTCTCTTCTGAAGGGACAGAAGATGTAGGTTTGTCAGGCCCTCTTCTGCTTGCCCTACCCACTAGTCCCAGGGGCGGCCAGCCCCTCCCTCCTACCCTGCTGTGGAAACCATTTGTTGATGTTGTCCACAGCTTCCAGCTCTGCAGCCCTCCCCCGCTCCCTCAAGCAGAGCTACAGCCCCCTCCCTGCCCATCTCTCCACCTCCTTCAGCCTGAGACAGGGCTCCACAGTGGTTTCCCTCGCCCTTCCTCCGACCTCTCCCCATCTCGCCACCCCATTCCCCAGCAGCAGGCCCAGACCCTCTGGCAAGAAGCCAAGGTCTTGGGGTCACATGCCTCCTGGCTGAGGAATCCCATCGTTGAGAGGGCCACTTGGCCCTCAAGTCCAACTACAAGGGGCCCATTGTCTAGCCCCCCCAAGGAGCAGACCTCAGGACCAAGCACAGCCTTCCCCCAGCCAGAATGGGCCACCCACCCACTGCACAAAGGGGCTTTTCTGGCTATGGGGCTCTGATGGAAGGGGAAGTCTTTCAGGAATTCTCTCTTCCTGCCCAATCCAGCAGCTTGGGGTTATCTACAAAGGACTTTCCATCCTCCTTCCCAAAGCCTATGGAGCCCTACAAAATCTGGCCTTTGCCCACCTCTCCAACTTCATCACTCACTCCACTCCTGCCTCACCAGCCTCCTTGTTGGTCCTCAAACTTCCCCAGCTTCTTCCTACCTATCTCCCCCATGTATCTACATGGTTCATCCCCTCACCTCCTCCGGAGCTCTGCTCATATGTTGCCTTCTGAGAGAGACCTTCCCTGACTAACCTACCAAAAATAGGGAGTATTCCTCCTACTCCCTAGTCCCTTGCCCTGCTTTATTTTCTATACAGCATCTACTACAGCTTAATGTTATTTTATGT